CACGTCTGCGGCGGGTTCCGAACCGGGCGACAAGGCGCTGCCTCAGAGCCTTCCCCCGTACGAGAGGCCGACCGGAAGGCCGACCGGAGGGCCGGCAGGAGCCAGCCTCTCGGGAGCCGACGCTGACCTCTCCGAGCTCGGCTCAGAACCGTCCGAGCTCGGCTCAGACTCCAACTCTGACTCTTCAGGGTCGGAGTCTGACTCCGGTTCTGGCTCGCTCGATGCAAGGCAGATGTTGTGGAGCACTGCACATGCCGAAATAATGGCGGTGGCTGTTGAAGGGTGGTAATACAGAGCCCGGTGCCTTTGCAGACACCGGAATTTGTTTTTCAACAGCCCGATGCAGCGCTCCACAACAGACCTGATCGAGGAATGCGCCTTATTAAACCGGCCGCAAGCGGTGGAGGTCGCGTGGTTCCCGGGGAGAGGGGTGATGAGCCAAGGCTCCGAGGAGTAGCCGCTGTCACCTGCACATGTAGAGGATGGAACATATTACATTCTTTACTTTTTAAAATAAAAGGCAAGAAAACAGCTGTGTGCAACTATGTCAATTATAATGTAACTTAAGTGTGACTTAAAAGTGTGTTGATATTCCTGCACTACAGTATCAGTTTACATTATGATTAATTAGCACTAGCTTGCCTGCAAACTCCCTGTTATTTCATGTAACTATGTGTTTTCCTGGTGGGTTGTATGGGATGTGTGCACGATTCCTTAGGGGGGCTGTGTTGTATGCAAGTGCATTATTAGGCCCTTGCATCCGACAGATAAAAGCTCTGTTGCTTTTGGGAGTGTGGCCGTGACTTTAGGCACGGGCAGAGCAGAACACGCTGGCCTTGTCTTTGGCAAGCAAGGGGATAAGGCGCCAGTTCGACGAACCTCTTTCCTAATCCTCGGTGGAGTTGGAGATGGGGAAAAGAGAGGGGGTGGTTAGATTGGAAAGGAGTCAGGTCCTGTTGGGACACGGAGGGTCTAGTAGGAGGAGCTATATAGGCAGACCGAAGAAGAAGGCCGGGTCAGGGAAAAGAATCCAGTGTGTGGGACAGAGACGACCCGAGGACAGATTTGGCGAGCCCCAAGTGGCCAAGGAGGAATTGATCCCATTCCGTACAAACTGACGACCGTCAAAGCGACCAGGCGAGCCCCCAGGTATCAGTGAAAGAGCTCCAACTTCATGCGAAAACCAACCAGCAAGAGGGTAAAGGCAGACAGTAACAGTGAGTGGGCCGAACCGGACAGCGACTCGCACTGCGGTCGCATGCCTTGCATAGTCTATCACTGTCGTGAGATTGGTGTAGTGTGGCTTTCGTAGCCTGCAGAGTGTGAGAGTTATGTGGACATAAACAGAGATTAATGGCCAAACTTTGGGTGCTGTCTCACTTCAAGGAGTTCCAGCAACTGTGTCTGTGTGTCTCACAACAAGCACAGTACGTGTGGTACTGTGGCTTTCAAGCAGTGGGAGCCACCGTGTGCGTAAGGAATGAATTTAGTGTGTTCACCAAGCAGGAACCGGCAGTCGCGTGGCAGCTGCCCTTGCTCGAGTTGGTTTCGGAGCAAGGAAAATTGCCACACGAAGGAGTCGTGCACCGACCCGGGATACCGTGGGTCGATGCACATTATCCGGCAGTCGGCGTGACACACCTGAAAGTGAGAGAGATATTGACATGTAATTACCTGAATCCACAAGTAGTAGATTGTATTTATGGTTCACAAAGCAGTCGCAATTTCAGAACCTTTAAGTTATTTTGTCTGACACATGCATGTCAACACACCTTCCTGGATGCAAGGTACAACTAACTACCTTGAAACAAAAATAATGTGTTTTTTTTGTTGTTTTTTTTGCGGAAGCTTGCACGTTTTGAAACCAAAAATAAGTATTATTTTTGGGAGAAGAGTCTCACGGCTCACATGCTACGTAGAGCACACGCTCGCGCAGTCGTGAGACCCCACAGCCCGCAGTCATAAAACGGCATACTTAAACCGTATCGGCAATACGTTTTTTTTTTTTTTTTTCTAGAGATTTGGGGCGCGTTTTGACAACGTAACATGAGTGTACTTACCACCATCACGTTGAGGGCGTAGAAGTACTTGCGGCACCAGTACGCCGCCTTCGTGACGGTGGGGTCGTTCTTGGACGGGCCGACGATGGAGACCATGGTCCCGTCCACGCAACCGATGACGCCGGGTATCCTGCCGAGCAGCCTGAAGCCCTTCTCCGCGTCGAACCTCTCGCTCGGCGTCTCGGGGAAGTGGATCCAGCCACGCTGGACCCCGAGACGACGCACGATAGCGACGGACACGGCGCGGACCGCAACGCTGACTGTCTTTTGGTCCCGCGCTACGTGTTCGTCGCTCGCCACCATGCCTTGGAAGCTCCCCGTGCCGTAGAAGCGCAGTGCACACAACACTTGAAGCTCCACAGTCATGACCGTCCACGAGGTACGCACTCTTCTCACCTCCGGTTCCTCGCGAAGTTCGTCGCACAACCACCGCACCACGATCTTGGGGTTCCGAAAGATCTCCTCCGGGAGCTCGAATGCATCGCGGTGTTCCCGATACAGCCTTTCGGGCGAAAAAAAAAGCTCTATTAAAGAAAAAGACGAAGTGACGAGACGACGACGCCTCGCCGCCGAAAACATGCTGCCAATGACACCTAGTTCCGAGCAAGTACCTTTTGAAACGTACTCGGTACAAAACGAAACGTCATTTTGTTGTCACGTCCGGTAGCCGACTCCGCCCAGTTTTGCCGACTCCGCCCACATTTTTCTAGGGAAATTACGTCACTTTTGTTTCCAACCAATCAGACGTGATGACGTCACTTCCGTGTACTAAAAAAAGGTACATGTACAATGTCGAACCTAGCTATCCTGGTGCATGTCTCCCAGCCGACTGTCTGCCGCACAGTGAGGACGGTGACGACGCTCATCGCGAGGGTGCTCTTCCGAAGGCTGGTGCACTTCCCGGCTGCGTCGGAGTACCACGGCGTTATGCGCGACTTCTACGCAATGGGGCAGTTTCCTGGCGTCACGGGTTGCATCGACTGCACCCACGTGCGCATCAGAAGCCCCGGCGGAGATGATGCGGAAGTTTATCGCAATAGGAAAGGAGTCTTCTCCCTGAACGTCCAGGTGAGCTCATATTTCTTATACCCCCTTTATTGACGTAGCTTGCCTACTAAACTGCCAGGCTGGGAAGCATGGGTAATGCTCACGCAAAACGATTTCAGCTGTTCAACCCGATCATTGTAAAACATAGGGAAACCCTTTCATCAGCTGTGTTGTTGCTGCTTATTGTACACCTCTGGGCCCGCTCGAAATAGCCATTGCACAGCCTATACCTAGCTTGCATATGCGACGTTATTTACGGGCAACAGGCACGTAGCCAGCCCCCGGGGGGGGGGGGGGGGGGGGGGGGGGCAGTTGTTTCACTTGTTTTCGAGCATGAGCCAACTGGCCCAAATTGCCGTATTAATGCAATGTTATATACCTGCAGGCCATCACCGGCCCACAGCTACAGTTCTTTGATGTTGTGGCAAGTTGGCCAGGATCTGTGCACGACAGCCGCATCTTTGATGGCAGTCGTGCGCTTGCCCTTTACGAGGAGAGCAGAGTGCCCGGCGTCCTGCTGGGGGATATGGGCTATGCCTGTCTCCCTTTCCTGATGACGCCGCTCGCAAACCCTGGAGCGGCAAATAGTCCCGGAGGGAGGTAAGCCAAATCATCGGCAGAAGTATAAGATTTGTTTTGGTACTGCACTGACAACATCACTAATGTCTGTAATAGCAGGCAGTCATTGCCGGTGACAAACAGTTCTTCAAGCGTTTCATGGACAGATCACTTCGCCGATATCCAATGTTCTTTCCTACCTTGCCGAACCCTTGGCGGTTTCGACAAGGCTTGGTGCAAGCTCGAACTTGAGATTATTTTAGCACCGAGATGTTTCAATGGCGCCCTGTTATGGTTTCCATCCGTGACGTCACGAGTGGGATTTGCCTCGACGTGACGTCACCAGTTGTTATCCTGTCTACTTACCATCAGGTGCGACGACGACTTCGGTGGTTTGTTTAAAAAGCACAGTGGAAGCTAGGAGTCATTGCAATCCGAAAGTAACACCGTCAAAGCTGACAATCTGACAATGCTCATATGCCCACGGTTTGGCCAATCGTCGAAAGCTGACCGCAGCGGCGCTTTTGGTCGCGCACATCGCTAATGAACCATTTCCCCTAGCAGAGCGGAGCAAAGCGAGGTGTGATCGTGTGGTCTGTTTAAGACATAGCTTGCCCCGCCGTCGGTGGTTCATTCACTAAAAAGTAAATTCAGTCTAATTTTTCTTTTTCAGCATTAGGCAAATGAAAAAAAAATCATAAGATTTGACGACCGCGACCACTAAATTCAATCCACCTAGCAGAAGAAAACGTTTGTCGACGAAATGTCGCAAGAACGAAAAAGTTTCCATGAGATGTCAACAGTATCATGAAGCCGTGCGTGCACGAAAAGTTGTCAATAAAACATATCTAACCTCGACAAAAGAATGTCAACCTGTTATTTCCATACTGAAAAAGAAAATACAGTGATTGCAAGTATGTTCCCAGATGCCTAAAAATCGATCACATGCCTTATAATTTGATTTAGGTACAACAAGGCCCAGATCCGAACAAGGAACTCCGTCGAGAGGGCCTTTGGGGTCTGGAAGAGACGATTTCCCTGTTTGGATATGCGGCTCCAGCACAAGACTCGCCACTCATGCAGCATCATCACCGCGTGTGCGGCTTTGCATAATCTGGGACGTGCAAGAAATGAGCCCCTACCTCCTCCTCCACCCCCGCCACCAAGTCCCAGGGCACGGAATGCCAGAAGGCGGCGGCAGCCACACCTGCCACCGATTCTCCCGGAGGACTCTCCTTCGGGTCTGCGTATCCGGCAGAACATCATTCTGCTGAGCTTTACGTGAGCTGCACGTAGGCTCAAGAGGCCCATCACACAGGCCATGAAGGTGAGGAGTCGTACTTCCAAGTGTGTGATACTTCAGTTTGACTTTAAAAGTGAACCATCAGTAAAGCAGGCATAGCAGTTTGAACATGATTTATTGTGCAGCCTTCTGGCTCAGCTCCTGCAGCAGTATGTTTTCCTTGATACACAGGAGCTTCATCTCCATTTCGTGAATGGCATTTCTTTTTTTCAGCTCGTCCTCGCGCAATTTAATTTCCATTTCATGCAGCGCAGCTCTCTTGCTGAGTGCGTCGCGGTGGTCCTGTTCAAGGAAGTTGCAGCGCAGGGCATGCTCCTGCTGGACAAAGGCCATCCTCATATCGTTTTCCTCTGCGAGGCTCCTTTCCAGCAGCGCCATACGTCCTCCGACCTGGCGGGCACCACTGCCCACAGCTGCTGCCGCACTACCACTGTTGCACGCTGCAGCAGCCGCAGGTGTAGGAGCTGGTGACCCTGCAGTAGATGTCTGGCTAATCAGGCAAGCTGCTGGGGCTGCTGCAGGTCTATCAGCGATGCAGGCAGCCGCTGGTGACAGTGGTGCACCGACGTCTGAGGCAGGCCCAGCTGGTGAACCGGGCTCCTCTGCAATTGAAAGAACACGTAGAAGTTATGAAGTGAACAATGGGACATACATGAAGAGTAGAAAGGGTTTTTATAAGTTTGAGATTGTATTTTTGTTTTTCATGCAGTTGCAATTTGAAGTATTTGATTTTTTTTTTCTGCTGCTGATCTAATGTGTAACAATGTTTTCATCCATTTTGAACCTGTGCCATAAACTAGGCCACTAGATCACTTAACCGTTTCCACCTTTTGGAGTGCTTGGTATAGATATTTCTTGGCAGAAATCATGCTATGATTATTTTAATACCCTGTGCTGTTTGTTTCTTTGTCAGGGGAGTATGGTCATTGTTAGTCTGCAGTAGTTGCCATGTACTGTTTTGAAGCTGTATGGAACCCAGCCCTGCAATGATATATGTTACCTTGTACATAAGTAATGTACATGCTGTTCGCACCATTTGTTCATTTTTACTAAATTATCTTGAAATTGAATGTTGTCATGCACACTTTTTACTTTGTTATTGACGACACAGTCATCTGCAACAAGATTAATATTAGATGAGATGGTTGCTGCAAGGTCATTCATGATTATTAAAAAACGTAGGGGTGCCAGTATGTACTACTGAGGAACACCAGGTGAAACATTTCTGAAGGCAGACTCATTATGATCTATAACCGTATCCATGCATATCCATGAGAAGATCAGTGGGTAAAGACGAAAAGGTACCAGTTTAGAAAGTACAGGTCAAGACATGGAAACGGTTCAAGCATTCTACCCAAGTCGGCATCAAGAGGGTCCTCCTCGCCGTCCAGCATCGGCTGCAGTAGTCGGAGAACTGGGAGGCTGCAGACCGGGGGCAGATAGGGTGCCCCATCGCTGTCCTCCATATTTTCCTGTCTGTTGAACACGTGTGAGGCCACCGCCCCAACCAGCACGGAGGTGGCGCTCATTGGCTTGCCAGGTGGCCCCCCTCCTAAAGGAGCAAACAGTAGTCAATCTAGGCACTCCAAGTTCTAATGTTATCTAAGATCTGTTTTCCTTTTTAAATATACCCCGATTTATAGGCATGCATTTGCTGATAGGGAATGTTCATCCCCTCTGCCCCATGCGTAATGAAATGAAATATTGAGCATCTGGGTGTTGTCAGTTGTGATCTACTGTACATGTCCGCCGCAAAAACTGCAAGTAGAATTACTGATTTAACGGTAGTATTATATCGTGCTGCGGTTCCGTTCATGCTGCTCCATTGTCAGGTTACTACGGTATTCAACTGACAGCATTAGGTTGCATAACCGACTTGTCTGCGTACGTTCACGCTCCATCCCCCATGACAGGTATTCCAGAAACAACAGTTCGAAACAAGGGCGAATTTGTGACCGACAGTTCGGGCTACAAATGTGACCCATCGCTCATTCCGAGGCACTTTCAGCGCGATGAGAAACCTGAACGAGAGACTTGCCTGTTTTGTGGACCTTGTTTTTTTCTTTGGAATGGTCCTTCTTCGCTTTGGCCTTCACATTTTCCCACCATTTTTTTAGCTGTTTCACGTCCCGTCGATATACACCGTGGTTGCAGTTATACTCGTTGCAGAGTCGAATCCAAGTTGCCTTTTTTTTGTTTAACGACGATTCGTCGGTCTTTTTACATTCGATGATTTTTTTGTACGTCATTACAAGTTCCATCAGTATTGCCTTTTCGATCTCTGTGAACCGCGCAGCGGGTGCCTTGGCCTTATCCATTACACGCTACGGAAATGAAAACTTTAAAAGAACAAACCAGCAGGGCAAGTAAACACGAAAAGGCAACGGCGGTGGTGGCGTTGGAACAAGGATATCGGAAGGACTTGGAATGTATTCAGCATGGATATTGAGGGCTATATTGCTGGCCAATTTAGTTTGAAAGAAGATGCACGAGCTACGTTCGTTTCTGAAATCGCAACATGTTTGTTATGTGCTAATATTTCTTTATAAACACAAATTATGTAAACACACTAAGAATTAACTTACTTTTGTGGTCTTACGCAAAGTATAAATATAAATTTCTTTTCTACTCTCGCTCCCGGACGCATCCCGTAGAAGGGCTCCCTTCACTTGCTCGAGTGAAAGCGAAGTGCCATTTCAGAATGGTAAACCTCACTTCAAGTGGAAGTGCCCCTTCAACCGCCCTTCTGTAAGTGAAGGGTCGCCCTTCACTTGGCATGACTCGGAGTGACATCTATGAATTCGGCGGTTAAAATCTGAAATTTTTTTTATATTACCGGAAAGAGGAGTGAGCGCGCTGCCGAGCTGTTGAATAGCCCGAGACGCGTGAGGAGGAAGAAGAAACAGGTCGTACCGGAGATAAGCTTCTAATTATCAACGAAAGCTTTTCAAAGGTGCAATACCGTAAGCCAACACCTGGAAGAAAAAAAAATTGAGGTCAGTCTTGCCCACAGGGAGACGAAATGATGCGCCAGCTCGCCTCCATACAGTGCCGCTAGCACCTACTGTCGAGAGTCCTTCCTCTATATACTAAAGTACACTAGTGTAACGTATGAAGGCTGAGTCTTCGAAAGAAATAAGGAAAGTATATTTACATTAAATACAGACGTTAAGTGCTAGGCAGTGGCGTAGGCAGAGGGGGGGTTTGGGGGGTCGAAACCCCTCCCGAAATGCCAAAGCTACCCCCCCCCCCCCCCCCCTTCTCTCCTCCCCAACGGGGCCCGCTCGCTGTCCTGCTCGCTCACGCAGTCGGTTTTGCACGAGGCACGGAGCAACGGGGGAGCACGGGCCATCTCCAATTTACAGGCTTTCGGAAAAATTGTTTGTGGGGTAGAAAATGCTCAGAATAATAGAATATGCAATATTGCTTAATTCATGTTAATTCGATGGGATGCGGAACTTGATCTCAGATATATAGAGAACGGATATTTCGAAACATTTGTGGGGTGAAGGATGGCAATTTCAGCGCAAAACATGACAAACTATCCTCACTGAAATGCACAGGTCAATCAAACCAATGTGAACATAATAAAACGAACACAGGGTGATAATATAAAACAATGTCAGTGATGTAAGGAATAATAAATTAATTGTAACAAAACAATTGCACTGTAAGCAACTGGTGGCGCTGCGCTCACGCACACCAATTGTGACCAGAATTACTTGCTTTCGACTAGAAATTACCGCGAATAAAAAGGTAACCATGACTAGTGATATTAGAATGAAATTTACAGCTTCTCTTTATCATCTCATTTATGCCAAGCGCCTACACATTAAAATGAAGCCGCCTGCGTTCACAAGAAAAAATATCCCGGACGTCCTCCGCTTGAACTTTAACGTCGCGGTGAAGATTCAAAACCGCTATACTTCGTTTCAGCTTAGGTCCAGACGTAGCCGATGCTAGAAGTGCCAGCTCCGGGCTTTCAGCGTCCCTGCCAAGCACGCGCGCTCGTGCAGTGCAAGCACCGTTCAGGGCCACATGTTCACTCACGTCTGTAGCATCGGCTGCGCCTGGAATTAAGCTGAAACGAAGCACAGACAGAGCAGTCGCTCACTCGACGTGGACGCTCTCAGGTATGTTTTCAACCGTCGTAGTGAAGAGAACGAGCGCTCAGCTTCCGCCGTTGTTAAGGGCAGAGCAACTAATCTTGAGGAGGCGATGTACGTTCTGAAATAGTGCCTCCAGACAGAGGGCGACCACCTGTATACTGCAGATGTGACGAGCGCTTCACGTTTCGCCCTCTTGCATTGGACGCCTAAAATTTCCCTATTTTTGGTGAAGTTTCCCTCACTTTGCGAAAATCGTCACTCCCGGATGAGAAGTGAAGTCCGTCTTGCTTTCTGCTTTGTATGTCAAGGTGGCATGCAATGCAATTCCTTATTACTATTAGCTTAATCTCTTCGCTGCACGGAACATCAGAAACTTGAAGAGACAAGCCTTCATCTTCTCACTACGCACAGGCGCAAGGGTATTCAAGTTCCTTTCCACGTTCGGCGCGTAGTTTCTTTCTGGTGCGTCATGTCATTTCTCCGAGTGACGGAACGACCAGTTCGGACTGATGACTTCTCCTTACCCCGAGGATATGCTGCTGCTGCCTTTGGATCACGCTGCAAGATAAAACGGCCTAGCAAAGATACCACTCTCTTTCCTTCGGCATCTGGTTCTGTAGCACGAATTTTTTAAACCTTTAATAGATAATAGATCTTGGTATTGTGATTGTTCAGAATTACCTTCGCCCCAAAATATGGGCCCCTGGTGTTTGTGCGTGGTCGGTTGCTCCAAACTTTCAGTGTCGAAAAAAGTTTTTTTTTTTTTTTTTTGCTGTTTAATTTGTTTTGTTTTTTTGTGTGTGTGAAAGTATACCTATTTTTAGTGTTTTCTCTAGCCTTCACGCGTTGGTATTGCGGTGCTACTTGGAAAAGCGAAGGGATTTTGTGTTGTGAGAAAGCGTTTAAAGTTGGTGGGCCGCAATTTCGACGACAGTAGAACAGTGAGCCCCCCCGCCCGTATTCGTGTAAATGAAGCCTGCTCCGTTTTTAAAAATGACAATGCAGCGTTACCCGTTTTATTTTAACAGCGTCTCCCTAATCTTTGCCTGAGCGTCCATGTCGGCAAGCTCACCCTCCGTCATTGACGGGGGGGGGGGGAGGAGGAGAAGATGCTGTTGAACCCCTCCCGAAATAAAATCCTGGCTACGCCACTGGTGCTAGGGCTAAGAGCGAGTTAGTGGTGGCTGGCTTGACTGGCTGAAGGCTTGACAGGCATGAGACAGGCATCAGACTGGAACGCACGTGCTGTCCGGGCCGGGCACGAGGGCGGCTTCTTTCTCAACTGTCACTAGGCAAGCTCACTTGGGGCGCGTCAAAAGTAGTAGAAAGAAGGAGACGGAGGATAGCACGCGCTCACACTAGCGAGCTCCTTTCCCGAAAAGAATGCTTTAGGGGAAGGAGCATTTGAGGGGGATCGGTGGCCGAGTGGGCCAGCGCACACCACGGAGCACGGAGCACGGAGCACGTGGAGCGAAAGCTCGCGCTGCAGAACCCAGGAATCTTGGGTGCAATCCCCACCGTTTCGATCTGGATGAGCATCGTACCGGCGTGCGGTCGTGTATCACTACTGCGTGATGCACATTAAAGACCCCAGGCTAGCGGCTGTACCGCACTGGCTAAATTGCTCACCTACAGCTGAGACAGACGCCCACTGAGGCAGACTATATAACTTCCGGTTGTATAAACATGCATACACGCAACAATTTGCTTTTGAGGAGCATTTGCGATGCCGTGTGGCACGAACTTCTTTTCCTTTAAGGAGATTGTCCTTTCTACTAAAGAAGCTACTACTGACCCGAGAAGGGGGGGGGGGGGGGGGGGGGGGGGGGGTGGAGTGGACATCATATTAAAAGGGCGTTATTTTTTCTCCTCTGCTACGGCCAAATTAAGTTTCAGGGCCTGCACACCAATACATGACTTCAACGCGCCAGACCCAAATTTTATCACTGCTCGCCCAGGCACCGGGGCGGAACCAGAGACGGGGTTAGAAGTTACGCCTCGAATATGTTTTAGCTATCAACGTTTCCTTTTTTGAAGCACTTTATTTTATTGTGTTGTCTTATGATCCGAGCAGTTCCAAGTGCTCCCAAAGCACATGGACTAGCCTGCACGTCTGAGTAGCGCCAAAAAAATATTGTAAACACGCGCCGTTGCCGCTGTAAAAAAAAAAAAAAAAAAAAAAAAAAAAAAAAAAAAAAAAATGTCTTGTGTATTTATACAGCCAAGAACTTGGTCTGCCTCACAGGGGCGACGAGTCTCCCAGCTGTAGATGAGCAATTTAGCCAGTGCGGTACAACCGCTAGCCTGGGGTCTTTAACGTGCACCACGCAGTAGTGATACACGACCGCACGCCGGCACGATGCTCATTCAGATCGAAACGGGCAGTGGTGGGGATTGAGCCCAGGATCCTGGGTTCTGCA